AGGTTTATTATGAATAAAACCCCAACTTTTTGTAAAATTACACAAAAGCCCCAAACTTTCAAGAAATTACCCAACCAACCCCAACATCTCAAAACACCAAAATTTAAAGACAAAATCCATAGAGAGGAGTAGGATATCCCTACCTCGAAGTTTGAGCCCAAAAGGAGATGAAGACTCGAAGATCAACGTGCTCCAAATCCAAACTTTTTCAGATTAAAACAAAGCTCTCAATGCCCTCTATCTTTTTAACAAAGGCCCTAGGCTAGATTCACACTCTAGGGAGATCAATTCTTAGAGAGAATATAAGTGTAGAGAGAGAGAGTCTCGGATCAAGGGTTTGAAAGAAAAATAAAGTGAAAAAGTGAAGTTCAAAATCGCTACTGTCCGCTGATATAAAACACGCTCGCTCGAGCGAAGACATGGTCGCTCGAGCGACCAAACACAGAAACTCTCGCTCGAGCCAAGGAACTTCTCGCTCGAGCCAAAAACTCAAACGTGCGCTCGAGCGAAAGAATGCTCGCTCGAGCCAACAACTCGAACCCTCAGGTCTGTAACCACAAGCACGCTCGAGCGACAAACATCTCGCTCGAGCGAAGAGCAAACCAGACCGCTCGAGCCAAGAAAAGCTCGCTCGAGCCAAGAAACACAACTCTCAGGTCCAGACACTGACTCAACGCTCGCTCGAGCGAAAGGCCAAAAATCTGGGCAGCAACACTTGGCTCCCAAACACAACCAACCTGAAACAAACCTGCCCAACACATCCTATAACTCAGTATACAAAGTAAAGAGGATGCAAATACAACAAGGGTAAACCCGGGATCGCTATAGAGAAAGAGAGAGACAGATAGACAGACAGACAGACAGAGAAGAGTTATGAGTGAGAGAGAGAAAGAGAAGAGAGACAGAGACAGAGAGATAGAAAAATGAAAAAATAGGTGAAAGAAGAAATGTTCAAAAGAGTAAGACGACGTCGTTTTTATTTTTTTTATTTTTTTTTTGTAACAGAAAAATACCGTTGCATTTATTTAAACCATTTTATGACTATATATATATGAAGCCGTCTCAAAGCCACAATATATATATATTTTTTAAACTTTTTTTTTTTGCAACGGTACGTATTACGATCACAAAAAACTTTTTCTTTTTTTTTTTCGACTGCAGCTGGTACCGTCGCAAATACTCTTTTTTTTTTGCGACAGCAATTTCTATCATCGCAAATACTCTATTTTTTTGCGACGCCAAGTTGTGTCGTCTCAAAACATCACATTTTTTGGCGATGGCAAGTTGTGCCGTCTCAAAAAGTCACATTTTTTTGAGACGGTAAGTTCTGACATCTCCAAAAGTCACATTTTTTGCGACGACAAGTTGTGCCGTCTCAAAAAGTCACATTTTTTAGCGACGGCAAGTTGTGCCGTCTCAAAAAGTCACATTTTTTAGCGACAGCAAGTTGTGCCGTCTCAAAAAGTCACATTTTTTAGCGACAGCAAGTTGTGCCGTCTCAAAAAGTCACATTTTTTAGCGACAGCAAGTTGTGCCGTCTCAAAAAGTCACATTTTTTAGCGACAGCAAGTTGTGCCGTCTCAAAAAGTCACATTTTTTGAGATGGCAAGTTGTGCCGTCTCTAAAAGTCATATTTTTTGCGACAGCAAGTTGTGCCTATGAGATGTGGTTATGAGATATGTGATGTTAATTATGATCAAAGTGGTGTGACTATGAGCCAAAGGGTGTTATGAGATATGTGATTAGTGGTTATAAGTAAAGTGGTATGGTTATGAGCCAAAGAGTATTGATTATGAGATACATGACTAATGGTTATGAGATGTGTGATGTTAATTATGATCAAAATGGTGTGACTATGAGCCAAAGGGTGTTATGAGATATGTGATTAGTGGTTATGATATATGTAATGTTAGTTATGAGCCAAAGAGTGTTGGTTATGAGATATGTGGGTAATGGTTATGAGATATTGTTAGTAATGGGCGCCCATGTGGCATGACCATTTGAACATAATTTGGATCTTATCCAAATAGGTTTTGAATTAAATTCAAACCTATTTAGGATAACCACTCAGGATATAGATATTATCAGTTTTAACTGATATGGATAAATAATAATAATATAATATATATCTGATATATGGTTATGGGTAACCAAGTCAAAGTACAAAATTTGCAAGTAGTTCCTATGAATATATGAGATATGATTGAGTGGAGCAAAAATTAGGGAAGATTATGGATTGATAGCTACAACATGATGTGGCCAAGCAAGTATAAAAGGAGGACTTGAAGAATGAAAAGAGGACATCTCAATCATCAAAACCACTCGCAAAGAGTCCATCTAAGTGTAGTTTAACTTAATATTTTAGGAGTAGATTAAAACTAGTAGATATTTTCAACCCCCACTTCTCTTTTCTTCTGTCGATTGTTGTATTTCTTCAATCTTTTGTTCTTGTTTAAGTTATTGTAATTAGTGACAAGTAACAATTCATTCTAATTAATACATATTCTTTTCTATTTTATCTCTTGTTTGCCTAATTACCTCCAAGGAAGTCTTTAATGTGTTTAAGGCTCAACCACAAAACTTGATTTTTATTTGTGCTTATTAAAATTTATTGTCGATCAATCACTGTTGATTGAGCCTAAACCAAATTTTTACCAACAGATTGTTAAGAAGAATGGCCCAAGTCCGAGCAAATAGTTGAATTCGTTTTCTTATAGATTCAATACAATCTTAAATTTTATCTGTTTTTAATTTACAATTGATAGACTAGCATTGAAAAAGAAACGATCAAGTTATTAAAAATGCTTTGATACTATCTACGGTGTCTAAGCAACTATTATAGATGATGAGAGACGATGGATGAGAATCACTATTGACCAAAAATGTCTTCATTCTATAGCAAACATGATTTGTCTATTCTAAACATGAATAGGCAAATGTTTTCTTGTGATTATTTTTCGTTAAAAACCTCCCATGAGTATTGATCTATATACAATAAGCTAAAGTTCTGGTTTCGTAAATCAACCCATTGGGCCCATTGCCACTAGTGGCTTAGGACAAAAACCCTCTATAAAAAGCCAAGTATGTATTTAAAATCCTAAACTCTCCCTCTCTACTCTCTCTCTCTTTACATCTACCAAAGGCATCAGAGGGCCTTTGTCCGACACTACACCTATGCTCCAAAGACCGTCTCATCTTCTCTTGCAAGTTATTGGATCGAATTGGAATCATATAAATCTAATTATCATCAAGTGTTATAATCAATTAAACCAAATTAAGAGCCAAAAAAAAAGTCACAGTCAATGTCGAGCAAATTAAAAATATGAAGACCAAATTGACACAAGAACCATACAAACACTATTAGCATTTATTAAACAAAACAGACAACGCATAAGTTGACAGAGATAATAGGGAGAGAGACACATGGATGGTTATGATCAATTACATATGACTTGACAAGAAGAAGTCATCCCAACCGAGTCTTCATCAACAACATAGTTGGATTATTTGGAGAACCAAAAGGGAAGTTTGAGTAATTCAAACTTGCTCAACGATAGAAAATAAAGGATTATCACCACAATCAACAAACTGGTAATTGACTATGAGGTGGCCTTGAGCATATCCAGTTCCGTCAGTGTCCAATTGTTGAAACACACTAAAATCCAAGTCTAACCCTCCATTGCTGCACTGGTCAACTATCCTCACTGTTACTTGAGCCCCAGTCCTTGTATTTGTTACCTGTATTCTCACAACATATATGAATATGGATTAGTTCTTGAACTATTAGTTTTGTGTCCTCAAGTCCTACCCAATAATACTTTACAAATCTACCCTTTTTAGTTTTTTTAGTTGTTATGGTATTTTAAATTTGAATTATGCAAAAAATAATTATTAAATTATGCATAACTAATAAAAGAAGGTCAGTATAACATTTTTTTATAGTAATAATATTATTATACATAAACAAAATTTTCCTTTAAAAAATACTTTTATCCACACACTACATGAACAAAATATAACTTTTGATTAGTTTAAAACAACTAAATATCCAAAAAGTATATTGATCCCATTCAAAATTATTAACTTCACTATTTTGGACCAATTAAGCTTGTGTGTGAACAAAAATCAGATTGTTTCATTAAATTTTCTTATCATTAAACATAAAATTAGTAGTGTCCACTTTAGTAAATACATTCGGGACAACCCATGTCTTTATGTAAGGGTTAACATTTGGCTCGAAGGCCTGTTGCTTGGTAGGCTTACTCGGCCCAAGTTTGTACCCCAAGTAGACACCTTGGCTCAAATTGAGTTTGGGTTAGATCTGGACCAATGTTTAAAGGTCGGTACAACCCATTGGCCCATTCGTTAGCTAGCCTGGCTAAGTTTCCAAGTTTGTTATGCAGAGTTTGGCTCTAAGGTTTTGGCCCGCGGGCTAGTTTGATCTGACTTGTTAAGTAGTAGTAAGAAAATCAAAATAAAAAAATATATTTATGTGTTTATTTTTATTTTTTTTTGGGATGTATGATGGCATGAAGAAGGATTTAAACTTGACTCACCAACAAACACAATCCACAAGCAGCTTGGCCAGTGGGACCAACTGGTCCACAGAAGGCAGTCCATCCATATTTGCTCCGCCAGGAGAGAGGCATATTGGCATCCCAAGTCGAGCAGAACGCGCTCACTGCATTCAAGTCCCATCCCACCTGCGAAGCGTTATAAAAATTGTAGGTGGCACGAACATTAGAAGCACTCTGGGCGTCTCCACCGGTGGTCAGACATGAGATGAGCAGAATGGAGAGACCAAATCTAAATCTAAAGCTCCCCATTTTGTTTTTTCTTTTTGGTTCTGGTTTTGCTTGTGCTGATGTATATATAACAAAAAGTCTACTTCTTCATCCAGAAGAATAGCTTTATCTAAGGGAGTGTCTATCTTGTAATTTACTAAAACAACCTTGCTGTTGTGTGAGATTAAGAGGATTGGAGCATTTCCTAAACACGCCCCTCTCTCCCCAAAAATTTCTATTCATGTCCCAAATCACTCACAATTCTTGTATGTCTTGAAATTTGTAAATTTTAATACTGTCATATAATCTAATGATTGTGAGTGATTTGCAACAGAAGGACAGGAATTTTTAGGGACAAAGGATTCTTGCTGCCCAAACCCATCAAGTTTTTTAAATTTAAAAAAAAAAAATATATATATATATATATATATTGAAAGCTCACTAAAAAAAACAATACCTAACTACCTCTCTGTATCTGAGTTGATAAATGTAAATGGACAGAATTGACATAAAAGCATATTCCACAAGATATGCTTAAATTTAACATGGAATAGACATAGATTTCAATTTTGCCAAATGTTAAAGTAAAAAGATTTTAAAAAAATAATAAATTTGACATGTTCAGTATAGTATATCTATTTAGAGAAGTCAAATTCTCAGTTATAATGTTTATTATGTGGGAATGCTCATTTCTATGTTTGGTTCAATAAAAATGAAAGACATATACATTTTAAATGAAATCATAATTCATCAAACTTAGAAAAATGACCATTCTACTGGGAGACTATAGAGATAAAGATTAAACACACTTTATTTTCTACCTTCGACTCACAATTAGATTGAGGTCCACCACATGGTGATGATCTTTGGACCGCACTTTCATTATGATTAGAAGATAAAAAAATGAAATACAAAATATCATACCCATAACCAAACTTTATTAAAAATTATTCATTTCATACTTGTTTAAAATCATCTTGGTAAATTAGATACTAACTTTTTGATAGTTGAATGTCTTATTCAAATTATGCACATCTCGACTAAATCTAAAATTTTAAAATTAACAATCAGATAAATTTTTAATAGGCAGAGTGACTCAAATACTACCTTATATGGAAGGAAGATGCACTCCGAGGATGATGGCTACTATGTGAGGCGGCTATAATGAAAAGTCAAGACCAATTGGGCACTTTATTTTATTAAAGCAACCTTTTTGACGAAGTGTTAAACCTACCACCCCAAAATAATAATAATAATAAAGTACTAATTGCTTTGCATTAGCACTTCATCTCAAAGGTTAACTTAAAAAATTATATATCCAATTTTTCTACACTAATCCTACAAATTCATAATTTTTATTTAGAATTTTATCTAATTTGTCAATGGTTAACCCCACGCAACACCAATTTAATTTTTACATACAAATTTATTCCCGATCAAATTTTCGAATACTCATTATGGGACTCTAGGATTCTAATTTGTCTCACTTTCAAGATTAAAGCCTTTTGCATTGAATTATGATCATTATATATATATATATATATATTAAAAAATTATTTTATTCACACGTTTAATAAAAATTATATTATTTGTGAAGAAGTAATATTTAGAGATCACTAAAAAGTTATAAAAAATTATACATAACACTCATATTGTGATATTTTGAAAAGTTGGTAAAAAAATAATTTTTTGACTTTTTAATTTTTGATGACTTTTTTGACTAAAAAAGCTAGTTTTTTTTGTTATTTTTTTGACTAAAAAAAGGCTAAAAAGTTAACTTTTTATGTCTAACTTTTTTTTTTATAATTTTTTTAAGTGCTTAATATTTTTATTGGGATTGGCTTCCCTTCAATCCGTGATCGGATTATAGGGTGTTGTTGGGCCTGTGGAGGCCCATCATGAGTCTCGTTTTTATAATCCGAATTGTCAATATGTAGAATTCATCGAGTATTAGATACCTGTAAAAAATCACACTAATTGGATATCAATAGCTATTTCATCGAATCAGATTTCTGTCAACTATTTATTTTTTCACCGTCTATTTTTTTTTATACAAAATTGATTTGATCACGTAAGTATCGATATCCAATCAATATGATTTTTTTACAGATATATAATACTTGACGAGTTTTACACATTAAACAGTTTAAATTATCAAAATAAAACCCATCGTAAATTTCACAAATCTAACAATATTCTCTAATCTGATCACATACTGAAAAAAAACCAAATCCCCTTTATTTGTTCCCATCAAAATTAAAAAAGACATTTTTATTTGTGAAAGTTCTGCACACATTTTTTATTAGAGTGATATTTGTATCATCTTAACACGTGGAGTTGGGGTCAAATTGGCACCCTTTTATTAATTTCTTTTGTCCTTTTATATATTAATTTCTTTTGTCCATTTATAGGTCAAGATTATCCGGTCAATCGCTTTTGTATTTTTGTATTTGAGTACCACCCCTCACCAATTCTAAACGGATAACTTTTCTTAGAAAATATTTTCTTAATTTTTTATTTTTTTATTTTTTGATGGAAGTGGAGGTGGCGGCGTGATGGTGCCATTAGAAGCGGCAATTGTACGGGGTGAAATATCTACTGCTTTCCGTACTCCTTGTACTTTAAGCTTCTCTTGACGATATCTACCTGGTAACACAAAAACGGTGAGCTGCCCGGCGGTGGTGTGCTGGAAAGACCCTCCGACGATCAAGTCAGTCCACTTGAGGAAGGAGAAGAGAGATAGAGAGAGAGTGTTTTCTTTTGGGGAAAAGGTTGCATACCTCTAACGTTTGCCCTCCTCCCTATTTCAAGGCTGGCCATGTAGCCTCAAGATTATGCGCGCACTACCTCTGTTGTCCTTCCCAAGACAGGTGGCAGTACTCGCCTCTCACCACCTTACGCGTGTAAAGGCTTAGTCCTCCCAACAGTACACGCAGAACTGCCTAACGGTATTGAGGCATATGTGGAGCAGATGTCCCTTCCTTCGTGCCATTGGCCCAGGTGGCACACCTGACCGCAATACCACGACCGACCTATTTCCCAAGAAGAACTATCGCTACAGGCGCTCAACCGCGCTATGCCCCACCGGACTGCCCCTTGGCAAAGGGGCGGCGGGGGGGACGCCCATGGACCAGGCTGGAGTTGACCGGTTCGTCGTGGCATACCGGTCGCGAGGCATGCCGGCCCCCGTCCGTTCTACCTTCATCCGAGGTTATATTGAATCTTCCCATCTGGGCTCACCGGTCAAAGACGCGTCATCCCTCCCTCAACCGCGCTATGCTCCACCGGACTGCCCCTTGGCAAAGGGGCGGCGGGAGGGGACGCCCATGGACCGGGCTGGAGTTGACCGGTTCGTCGTGGCATACCGGTTATGAGGCATGTCGGCCTCCGTCCGGTCTACCTTCATCCGAGGTTCTCTAGAATCTGCCCATCTCGGCTCACCGGTCAGAGACGTACCAAGCCTCGCTTGTCCATAGTTTAGCCCGAGCTATCCGTAGCCCGGTCTCGCCACTTGGCTGCGTGCACTGCCGGATATTTGCGAGTCGTAGCTCGGCCAGGCTTAGTTCACGCCGGTCAGCCGGTCTTTAAGACGGAGCAAAACAGATCCGTGCCGTCTCAGCTCGACCGTACTAACGGTGCAAATCTCCCCTCTCAGCAATGATGGTGATGGTAGCGGTGGTTGTAGTGGTAGTAGTGAAAGTGACGGTGGTAATATGATAATATTGATAGAATTTTAATTCAAAAAATATTTCTCTTTTAAAAATAAAAAATATTTTTTTACATAAATAAGTTTGTTTTTCATTAACTTTAGTTTTTTTATTGTACCAAGTGCCAAAACATGCGGAAAAATATTTTTTAAGAAATATTTTATGTCCAAACAAAAGAAGTATTACTCTAACCTTCACTTTTTCTAACAAAACGATGGACTAGTAAATCTATGGGATATAAAGCCCAATCCCATGTCTCAATCCTTGGAACAAAAGCTCCTTATGCTATGTTTGGTTAGGGAATTTGAAGAGGAATTTGGAAAGAGAAATAGAAAAGGTAGATGAAATGTGAATAAAATATACTTAAATTTCACTTAGTTTCACACATATTTTCTCTTTTTTTTTTCTAAATCCCTCTCCAAATCTTCCAACCAAACACAATATTAGAGTATTGCCTTGCATTAGGAGTTTTTTGATACAATGAAATGATAGACTGCATTACTTCACATTGTAGATCAAGAAATGATCCGTCTACAACTACAAATGTGGAGTAAACTGAAAAAGCTAATGCTATGGATGTAATTTGAGAAATCAGCAATTTTAGAATAAGAAGCACACTATTATGCAGTAGTTATGTACTTGCTGAACCAGATTCAATGACAACTTGGACAATGATCCACACAATTTTTCTCAGTTCATGCAACAGCAGAGTAGAAGAATGGGATTGCCATCAGGAAATCAGGGTGGCTTCTGTATATCTCTAAAGTAAGCATGCTTGAGAGCATCCCATGCTGTGATTCTTTTCCTTGTATCCAAACAGAGCATTTTCTGGGGAAAACAAACATAGGGATAAGTGCAAACAACCACAAACATGTTTGATGAAAGTGCAAGTGATGATGTGATGCCCCTGGACTCCAATTTTAGAATCCACACATATTGCTACCAAGAACAATGTTATGGCAAAGGCGGAACTGAGAAAAGCTAAAACATAACAAACATGTTTCGGGTATAAGCCTATATCCGTGGGCAAAGATCAGAAGAATTTCACTATGGAATGAATGTGGATCAAATTATACAAAGCCAGCTCTCTCTCGAGATCATTCTAACCCTACAACCTCGAAATAACCCCTTAAATACAAAGATTTGAAAAGTAGAAAACCAGGTCAAAATAAACCCAAATACAAATGATTGGTTGATCCTATTGGTCAGGAATGGTCTGAGTTGTGTGGGTTGCCAACGTGTGAAAAGCAGGATCTGGGTTGAATTCAAGACACACTCAGATTAGACAATTTATTCCACTCTATGTAGTGAGCATTAGATTGCTCTAATCAATGTCAAACATCTAAATGGGGATGACTAAACCATTTCTTCAAGATAGCTAC